GGGTTTCACCATGTTGGCCAGGCCGATCCTGAGCTCTTGACCTTGTGATCCACCCGCCTCGGACTCCCAAAGTGCTGGGATTACAGGTGTGAGCCACCACATGCGGCCAATGTTGTTTCCTTTTTAAGTTTTTATATATCTTAATATGCTTCTTAAAAATCTTCAAAGTTTCTTTGAAGGGTGTCATTCCTGACTCCCTCCTCTACTGCCTTCGTCAGCTATTCTAACAGTGCTGTGTGATCATGGTTAGATAGTGGGAATCCATAGTCCATTTGATTCTCTCCATTGAGTTTCTTAGTTCTGAGGATTTCTCAGGACATGTAATGATTCAGAGCTTTATCACCTCATTTGCAAAACAAAACAAAAAAAAAAAAACCTTTTTTTTTTTTTTTTTTTTTTTTGAGATGGAGTTTCACTCTTGTTGCCCAGGCTGGAGTGTAATGGCGCAATCTCGGCTCACCACAACCTCTGCCTCCCAGGTTCAAGCGATTTTCCTGCCTCGGCCTCCTGAGTAGCTGGGATACAGTCATGTGCCACCTTGCCTGGCTAATGTTTTGTATTTTTAGTAGAGACGGGGTTTCACCGTGTTAGCCAGGATGGTCTTGATCTCCTGACCTCAGGTGATCCGCTCGCCTCTCGCCTCGGCCTCCCAAAGTGCTGGGATTACAGGGGTGAGTCACCGTGCCTGGCCACAAAAATGTTATATTTAATAAAGGTAGCTATCTTTAAAAGAGTTCAATTATCTTATCACTGTTCTTACTCAAATTATACCTAAAAATTAAAGTAGCAACATAGACATCTTCAGAACTAAATGAAAGTTTTAAAACGCACGAAATTAGGGCAAGTGCATAGCATAATCACAAAAGATGCTACCTCTTCATACCTCTGGCTTGGAGTACTTAAGGAAACCAAAACCTTCTGTGTTTGTCCAAATATGGTATGCAATTCAAATTTGTTCCATATGGTATTCTCTGACTAGAAACTTATGTCAGTTAAATTGAAGTGTTTGTCTAAAACCATAATATCCAAGTGTGACTTGTTATAGCCAATAAATTTTGTCTTCAGGGGGAAAAGTCATTACTACACCAAAAAAGGAAGGTTGGCCAAAAACTGGTGTTACTTTTCAAGTACGATTATGAAAAGCTGTTGCTAGCAGAATAGTCATGGCAGGTAGTTTGTGCTCTGAAATAACAGAGCTTGTCAGTATTTGCCAGCTTTTATCTTTTCCTTTAGTAGATCCATTCTTAAAACCAAACCTAATATTTTTTGTGCTGAGATGAAAGAATCACCTGAGCCCAGGAAGTGGAGACTGCAGGGCTCCCTGATCACACCGCTGCACTCTAGCCTAGGTGATGGGAGTGTGACCCTGTCTCAAACCCCAAAACACAATGGTCCACTCTTTCTGTTATACAG